GCATTTACAAAGTAGTTGATTAAAGTGTTCCTCTGGATTGTTCAAGAAGGGAGTGGTGACCTCTGATAAGACAGGGTACATGATGTCCTTCAGGCTTGGCTTTTTTCTCTTCTGCTTCACTAGAGGCTGGACTCTCCTTGGTTTTGGTTCTTCCGTTTTTTTTGCAGGTAAAGCTTTAGTCTTTCGGTTAGTCACTTTGGCCCGTTTTCCCTTTTGTTTGCATTTCTTTTCCTGAAGATTTATTCCTTCCTGCTGTCCTTTTGGCTTCATTTCCACTTTTGCAGGAGCAGGTTTAGCTGACAACTGGGCTCTTCCTTCGCTGCCCCTTGGGCTGAGCTGACCTTCTTCCTCTTGGGCATCTTGGTGGCAGGCAGGACATGTGCCAGGCACCTTCCCAACATGCACGGGAGCCTTCACAAAGCTGGGCTGCCTGGCTACACTCTGGCCACGGCCGCTTCTCCTGCTGCCTGAGCTGCTGAGACCTACTTTCTTGGCTTCTTAAAGAAAGCACCCTGGCTCCAAACATAAAAGTCCTGAGGCGAATTCTCACTGTGCAATTCTCCCTCTTAGGAGCAGGGGAGCTGCCACGTTTGCCTGAGCTCAGACCAGGGACTTTCAAGAGCCTGTGGCTAAAGAGAAGAAAGCCATCAAAGGTGGACACAGATCTTTCTCTTGGGCTCCAGACTTGGGTTCTGCTGTGAAGAGGTCCCCAAACCCCTACTGGGACCGAGAGACTGTCACCTCCCGGGTGATGCCAGCATGCCTGAAAGCAGTGTGAAGCAGGCAGGTAGCTCTGGCCAGGGTACCTGGGGACCCAGGGATTACGGAGTCAAGTGACCTTCTAGGGCCTTCATTTCCTTGTCTACCAAATGGGAGTAACATTCTCTTCTCTACCTTCCTCACAGGATTGGTTCAGGATGGGATAAGGTAGGAGAGTGGCATCACCAGGGCCTGAATCTGTTGTGAGGTGGCCTAGATTTCCTGCTGTGACTGCCCCAGGCAGGCTAACCACATGGGGCCCCTATACACTGACAACCCTTAGGTCCTTGTGCAACACATATTCAGAGGAGTTTGGCCCTGCAGATAGAAGGGGACTGGTGGCGGTCCTATTCACATCCCCACCCCTTCTACATCAGGCACAAACTGTCTTCCATGCTTGCCTGAGTTTATTCCTTAAAATGGCAAAAACACACCTGTTGACTTTGAAGGGCAGAGGACACTGCCTTCCAGCTGCAGTTTTCAGGGCTTGGGGAGAAATTTCACACTGAGTTGTGATTTGGCCCTTGTTCATGCTCAGTCCGCGCAGCCCAGGACAACTCAAGCATCAGGATATATTTGTTGAATGAATGAATTTGGATGAGAATGGTCCCATTTTGGCCAGGAGAGAGTTGGGAGCAACAAGGAAACAGGGCAGCATGCGACTCTGGGAGACATGGGGCCCAGGGCCTTCCCTGGTTGTGCTGGCAGCGGCTGTGTGGTCTGACTGTGTTTTTGTTGTTGTGGTTGTGCCATGCTTTGTCCATGGCCATTGGTTGCCCCTTGGAGTCGCTGTCAAGCCAGAGAGCCCTTAGAAACTCGCTTCTCCAGAGTCCATCTTTATGCTCCTGGGTCCCTCTTGTGGCTCTGGTGAACTCCAGAATGTCCAGGTCTATTCTCAAAAAGGTGGGAGGCGGGAACTCTAAGTTCCACAGTGGGGGCAGGTGGAAGTTTCCATTACTTGTTTGAGCATTTGGGCCAGAACAAGGCATTGGTCATCTTGAAGGCTCCCCTCCTAGACATGGGGTACCCAGTTACCCTTGGCCAGCTCTGGCCTCCCCCAGCCTTGGATGGAAAAATAGACTTGCTCTTAGGTGTGTGAGATTAGGAGTTGCCCATAGGAGAAAATTCTCAAGGAGAAGGAAGCAAAACATTTTAATACAAACAGATTTCACTCAGTGGCTACATCCTCCTTGTTTGGCTTCTAATGCTTAGGGATGTCTATGATTTTTTTTTTTTTTTTTTTTTTGAGTTGGAGTCTCACTCTGTGGCCCAGGCTGGAGTGCAGTGGCATGCTCACAGCCACCCCAGTGTTGACCTCCTGGGCTCCAGTGATCCTTCCACCTCAGCCTTCCAAGTAGCTGGAACTACAGGTGTGCACTACCACACCTGGCTAATTTTTGATTTATAATAGAGATGAGGTCTCGCCAAGTTGCCTGGGCTGGTCTCAAATCCACGGGCTCAGGCATTCCGCTCACCTCTGCCTCCCAAAGTGCTGGGATTACAGGCTGAGTCACCGAGCCTGGCTGTCTATGATTTAATGAGGCTATTCTCCTATGGGACCTAGCTCTCTGAGCCTTTTGGGTGAAGTTGGAATAATTATGTGGTTTTTGTTCCCTGGTCTTCTTTTGACTGATGTTTCCAGTGCAGGTAAGGAAAATGACTCCAAAGTGTTGACTTCAGTCCGTGGGACTCCCTCGCTGGAGGATGAAGCTGGAAGAGGCTTTGGGGAGGCAGTCTGGCATCAAGAAAACAATACGGCAGCAGTAGCAATAATGGCTGCTGGGATTTACAATATGCCGGGAAAGATGCTGAGTGCTTTAGGAATGTGAGTGCCATTTCATTCTCCTAAGAGTCCCATGAAGTAAAGACTGTTACTATCATCCCTGTTTTATCAATGAGGAAACTGATGTACAACGATGTAGCTCGCCAGGGGGAGGAGCTGGCCCTCAGGCCAGTTGGAGGGACTTCAAAAACAGACCCTTCAAGTCCACCTCAGAGACCCAGGTGTGTGTCCTGTACCTGACTGGCTCTAACTGTGTGACCCTGTGCCCTTGGTGGAGTCACTTCATCCTCTGTCCAACGGGGACACTGGCTGCTAAGAATGAATGATAGCAAGGTAGCCGTTGGGTCTGGCTCGACTGAGCGTGCCCTTTCCTAGATTCAGCCAGGGAGGGAAACGGGAGGGACATCAGTGACATGGTGGGGGTTTGCATATCATGGTGGCAACACAGAGGCAGCTGCGGGAGGCAAGCCCAGCCCCCACGGACTGAGGGCTGGGCTGTAAGCCCTGGCAAAGAGTGTTAGGTGCAGCACCACGGGGCAGATCTGCGGGGTGGGGGGGCAAGGCAGTCCCGAGGGGCAACTGGGCTGCAAGTCTGCCATGGGGGGTCTGATGGCGGAGCCTGTCTCCGCCCAGGTGTGCGCCCCGCCTTACCACCTTTTCCTCCCGAGTGCCTGGGCTCCGTCACCTGGATGCCACTTCATGTTTGTTGGCCGCCTTTATCCTCCAGCAGGGGCCCAGCATCCTCACACAGCCCTAGAGTCTCTGGGCTGCTCAGGAATGTGGTGAGATCTTGGAGTGGGAGGAGCAGAAGAGCTGACCAGGTGGTGGTCTGGGCCCCGGCACCCAGGGATAGATGGAGAGCAGAAGCTGCCGAGTGGCCCAGGGCTGTGTTTCCCAACCCGTATGACTGTACCCTCCAGGCATCTTTGTTCATCACAACTTATATGAGAGGATGTGTTGCTGCCAACACATAGAAGACAGAGGTCAGGCACCTTGCTAAACATACCACACTGGATAGGACAGCCCTCCAAGGACTACAAATTATCTAGCCCCAAATGTCATCAGTGACAAGGGCAAGAGACCCTGGCCAAAGTGGGCACCAATCACTTGAAGGGCCTTGGGGGGTTTGGGGGGGGAAGGGGGTGGACAGAGTAGGGACTTGTATGACCCAAAGACCAGACAGAGAGTCAGGCTTTCTCAGAAGACATCGGCTGAACAGAGGAAAGCTGGGGCCCATTACTGTCCACTCCCTCCCAGGCCTTAGTACTACATGGAATTTCGAAGCCAACAAGAGAGGTGGAGGTGAGAGGAACACCTGAGTCCAGGGGTTCAAGACCAGCTTGGGAGACTTGGCAAAATCTTGTCTCTACAATAAATAAAAAAATTAGCCTGGCATGGTGGCATGTGCCTGTAGTTCCAGCTACTTGGGAGGCTGAGGCAGAAGGATGGCTGAGCCAACAGGTAGAGACTACAGTGGCCAAGAGCATGCTACTGCCCTCCAGCCTGGGCGACAGAGTGAGACTCCAACTCAAAAAAAAGAAGTCAACAAGAGAGAATTGAGGGGATAGGAACCCCTCAATTGAATACGTTTCTACTATTCAGTGATAAAGGGGGCTTGCGGGCCATTGCCTCGCTATGCTATGGTGTGGCCATGTGTTCTTTGAGCTATGGCCAGGTTATGTTTCCTGGTTTTGGCCCCATTCCCTACCTTGGGGAGAATCTCCTCTTTTTCTCTCTCTCTTTCTAATTTACTTTTATTTTTTTATTTTTATTTTTTTTGCATTCCAATCCTACATTTATTCAACACAATTCTTTCACTCTACACAACAAAGTACAAATACAATATTATCTAAAATGCTACAAAGTTACAAAACAAAACAAATTTTATAGTACTGACTGTACAAGAAAAGCCCCCAAAAAGCAATGTACACGTTGCAAAGGTAACCTGCAAGCTCACCACAGATGGCAGGTGCAACAGGGAACCCTGTGATGACCCTGCAGAGATGGCTCTCGCCTCGCTCAACAATTTCAGAGAGTAAGGAAGCTGAGGGGTGTGGGTGTGTGCGTCAACAGACAGAACCATTTACAGCAACTACTATGAAATGAGAGGCTCTTCAGGGGTGCTGGACCCACGAGGTCACCAGAAGACTGAAACAAGGGAGCAGAAGACTAGGCTGAGCAGGACCGGTGGCTGCACTGCAGCCTGGCTCCCTTCAAGCCTGGCTCCCTTTCTGAAGGGTACCACATAGCACAACAAGGTACAGCCAGACTGACCGACTGCACCCCTCCCCACAGCCTTGCTTGTCCCTGGTGGCTTTGTCACTGAACTGACTCTCAGAAAATGGAAACAGGTGAGCTTTTTAACCACAACACGGAAGGCATCTGGACAGGCACAACCCAACCAATAGCACTTCTAAAGCGAGAGCCTGGCCAGCAGAGGAGATATTCAACAGCTGCCTTGAAGCCTGCCCAGGTGAGGGATTTCCTTTCCTACTGATCCTCCTTTGGCCAGAAAAGTGACACAACTGAGCTGGGTGGGCTGTCAGTCATGGGGCACGAGCTTCAAGGCCTGCTTATCCGGAGGAGTTGGAGCTGGAACGGCTCCTGTGGCGGCGACGGCCAGGGGAGTGGGATCGCCGGCGCACAGGAGACCGGCGCCTGGGGGAGCAGGACCTTCTTCTCATTCATGGGGGAGACCTGCGCCACATTGGAGGTGGCGGTAGCATTCTCCTGGGAGGACTGAATCGCCTGGGAGGTGGTCTAGGCCAGGGGGCCAGCACAGCTGTGGCAGTGATCTCCTGGCCATCGATTTGCCCTCCATCCATGTACTTCAGCACCTTCTCGGCCTCGTCTGGACTCTCAAACTCCACGTATGCATAGCCTTTGGATAGATGGGGATACATCCTTTCTACGGGCATGTCAATCATTTTAATTTTCCCATAGGTAGAAAATATTTCCATGATGTGATCCTTGGGTACATTCCTGGTCAGCCTCCCAATATGCACTTTGGTGGGTTTAGGGGAAGGGCTCCGCCTTTTCCTCTCCTTTTCATCTCTTTTAGGTGGCTTGGATTTGGAACGGGAACGCCGCCTGTTGTCATGTCTGCGCCGAGAAGAACTTGGAGAGCCAGAGGAGCTACTGGAGCTGGAGCTGCGGGAGGTGCTGGAACTCCCTGAGCGGCTTGAAGCTGAGGAGGAGCTGGAGCCGCTGCTTGAGCCGGTACTGGTGCTGGAGCCTGAACTGGAAGTTGAGCTGGACCGAGACCTGGTGCTGCTGCTACCACTAGAAGTGCTGCACCTCTTTCGAGTTTTATCCCTGCCACGATCCTTCTCACTCGACTCCTTGGTGGCCCCTTTATCTTTAGAGCGATCCTTGGACTTCTCATCAGAGCGGTCTTTGCGTTTGGTAGGAGAAGGAGCCCTAGTGCTGGACTTTTTATTATTTTCTTTGACTCCTAGCAAGCTCTCCTTTTTCACTCTTGATAAATCCATTCTCCCCTTCTGAGGTGTTCAAAGCAGCAATGGCGGCCTCACTTATCTGAACTCTCACTTCTAACTTGATTCTGAGAAACGATCCCTAATCGATTGCAATTTATGCCAAAGAACAGCATCTTCCTGTGGCCGCCACCTCCTCCCGCTTTCCTCAGTCTCAGGACCGTGCCACTCTGTCGTCCTCTAATTTACTTTTGAAATAAACTATATTTCCTAATCTAACTTCTGTGCAATTCTTTGTATCTTTCACATAGCATCGGCTCACACACCAGACACCCACCACCCTGGTGGGCCTAACATAACATTCTGGAGACCCCCGCTGGGAGTATGACCTAACAGGGAAGATGGAGGGGACTGAGATTCAAAGAGGATCAGAGACCCACCCAAGTTCACACAGCCAGGTGGTGCACGAGCCAACAGTATTCTGGAGCTGGCTTACATGGGTTCCAAAGAGCTGATGTTAACTTTTCAGAAATTTCACAAATGGGATGTTAAAATTAGCTTGGAATTGGCCACAGTGGGAAAGAAAGAAAGAGAGAGAGAGAAAGAGAGAGAAAGAGAGAGAGAGAGAGAGAGAGAGAGAGAGAGAGAGAGAGAGAGAGAGAGAAAGAAAAGGGGGCTTGCAACTGAAATTAAGTTAAACAAAAATTAAGTTCAGTTGTGAATCTGAGAAACAGATTGGTCATTGCAGTTGACTCTGGCTAAACACTTTGCGCATCATTCTGTTTAATCTCATGGATTAATTTGGAGCATTATTCCTTTTATCCGGGGAAGCCCAGGCTCAAAGAAGGGAAATAATGTACCTAAGGTCTTAGCTGGTTAGGGGTGATGCTGGGATCTGAACCTAGCTCTGTCTGAGTGCTGGGGCAGTGCCCCTGTGTAGATAAATGGACTTGTGAAGGGCCTTTGATGCAAGTGCCCGCCTCAATCTCTGAGCCCATCCCAGGGTCTGGGGGTCAGGCCCACAACTGCTCATGCTCCTAGCTTGAAAACTCCCCAGCTGGGAGTCAGAGAGTTGTGGCAGTGTCCTCAACACATCCTTTACCAAGGCCTTGTTTCTGAGCCTGGCGCCTGTCTCCTCCATGGAGATGCAAGAAAGCTAAGCCTCATTGCTCAGTGTTGGTGCCGTCCCTTGTGCTAGACCTGAGCAACCCTAGGGGTGAGGCTGTAGCTGGGGTAGTAGCCCCAGGGCCACTCTCTGGCCTGAACTTCTCCCCCAAGGCCTTGGGACATCCCCCCCACCCCAGAGTCAGATGGGTACCTTGTTATGGCCCTGCAGAGGCAGCTGCTCTTGTAGCAGTAGGAAGTAAGAGGTCTCTGGGGCGCTGGGGAGGCCTACCTGGCCATGTGTTCTCAGAGTTTCATGGTGATGATGACCTGAGCTTCTACCCCTTCTACTGCCCCAGCCAGTCAGGGTCCCCTGTCACCCTTTAGTACTCATCAGCTGGACCATGACCTGCTGACACCTCTCTTCTACTGTCTACCCCCACCCTCACCAGGTCCATAGATTTGCTCACACTTAACTCTGTAAACTCTGCAGTGATGCTCCCAATGAGCCTCCTGGCAGCTGGGATCAAAGTGCCCTAAAGAAGGCAATAGTGCAACCAGGCACAGAGTGGCCTCCAGAAAAGCAGGCCTGGGAGTTGGGCATTTGCTAGGAGGCCGCAGCAAATCATTTCAGTGACTTGAGAGGCCATGGCAGTGGCTCCCCAGCAGGCTGAGGATAAAATGAGAGCGCAGGTGAAGGATTTGTAAATCATGTCAACCATGGCACAACGTGGCCTTTTCTCCTAGTTGCTGACCCCTCAAGGAAACTCTCATTCTTTGTGGGTCCTGCTGCTGAGAGACAAGCTGGGGTAGTGACTGTGGGGAAACAAACGGCCCGATGGACTCCAGCCAGGGCCAGGGCTAGGGTGGATGCACTGTCTGAAGGGCACCTTGGTGCCCACTGCCCTGGATTGGCAGCCCTTGTTTGGGATGGCCTTAGTGATGCTCCCCCTTCCATGTGCTTATGCCCTTCCCTTCTTCAAATGCAAGTCCAAACTGAAATGGGAGATGGGACTTCATATACTGGAAAAGTTTTGGTGCAGCACCCTCCTGGAGTAAACAGCATTGGCTAGCTGCTGCTCCCTGGGGGAGGGGCAGAAAGAAGCCAGATATAGGAGAAAAGAGCCAACGTCCTGACAATTAACTCACAACACCTTACACCTAAGCTTTGGCTTCCTTAGCTGAGAAATGGGGATAATTGTTGTCCTTCTGTTATATTGAATGTTGTAACATAAAATGACTTAATACATCCAAGTGCCCAGAGTAGGGGCTGCATAAAGTAAGACTCAGTGTAGGCTCTTGTTCTTGTTCTCAACATACCTAGCTGTTTTTACCGCCCCCCTGGCATTCTGTTTGACAGAGACGGTGTTGTAGGTCTTTCCCAGTTTCCCATTCTTGTGATCAATTCGCGTATACATGCTTGTAAATGCAGGCACTTGCTTTTCCTGCAGGACGGACTGTGCGGGCCTCAAATATCCCCATAGACGTGCAATGGGGGAAAGGACTCTGAGGACTCCTCCATTTATCTCAACGGGAAAGCCGGGGACGACAAGGAGGAGGAGACATGTCCATGAGATCCGCCCTCAACAGGAGGGGTGGGGCGGCCCAGCTGCAGGTGTGGAAGGCCTTTGCTACAGGCGGGGAGAAAAACGGCTTGTGGAAGCCTTTGTTCCTTTAGAGGAGTAATTGCCTTCGATGGGCTGTTAATAGGAGTCATTATGAGGTTATTAAGAAGGGAATGCAGTGAGTCCAGCTTGGACTTGCTCAATTCGGGGTCTCCTGGCTTAATGCTGCTTTTGCCTCTGCAAATAAGGAGCCAGTCACCTCCCCTGGGGTCCCCTGGAATCTGGAGTTTTGGCCTTTAAGCCCCACAAGAGGGGGCAATGCACGAGGGGGCCAATTAACTCCTGGGAAGCCAGTGGGAGGGCCGGGGTGAGGGAAGGAAAGGAAGAAGCGAAGAGGAGGGAGAGAGGAGCGGGAGAGATGGCAACAGAGAGACAGTGAGCAAAAAGGGAGGAGGAAAGAGAAAAGAAGGGGGAGGTAAAGAAGACGGAAAGAACGCTGGCTCTCAGGCTAACTTCTTTGGCCTGAATTCTGGGAGCCATTACCAATGCTGATTTCCAGGCTCTCCAGCTCTGCTGATTCAATTTCTGCAATTAGATCCCCAGGTGATTACTCTGCATGTTCAGGTTAGATGCCCTGGTTTGGTGCTCACCAGGGTGACGGATGCAAAATGGCCCAACAGTGAGTGGGGCCTTCAGGGTCCATGAGGACTGGAGACGTGGAAGCAGGTGATCAGCGGTGTCACTAAGATGACCTGTGCGGAAGACACAAGGAGGTGGACAAGTGAGTCTGCGCAACCTGGGGAAGAAGCCTGTGCGGCTCTTAACTGCGGGTTCTGTTCTGAGTTCTTTATGCATCATTGCCCCCTTGTGTCCTCGCCCCAGCCCACGCTGAATTCAAAGCCAGGAGGGACTTGAGAAGTCTTGGTCAAGTCACCTGCTGCAGCTGGAAAGAACTGTCACCACTCCTTCCTGGCTCTGCCCTCTGGTGCTTCTCAATGCACCAGAACTGCCTGATGCCCAGTTCCGGAAAGTCTGGTTTTCCTCCCAAAGCCAGAGACGTGATCGGAATTTCATCTTGGAGGCTGGCAAAATGCAGTCCGCTTTGGGGTGGGGGTGGGGGTGGGGGTCGAGAGGCCAGTAGGAGGATGAAAGTGGGGGGGGCTGCTAAAAGCTTCCTGCAAGCCCCTCTTTTATGAGCAATGGCCAGAAGGGTGACTGTTCTAGGTCCCTTGGAGGACTGGTCAGGATGGGGTGAGGCTGCTGACCCCTGGTCCTGCAGCCAAAGCCTAAAGTCTGGGGACACTGGCCATTTGCAATCTAGAGAGAGCATGGTGGTCCTCTGCCTAGGAATCTGTGAAACACTGGGAGTGGCTGCATAAGAGCAAAGGAGTATGAGCACAGCTGTGGAGTCAGGACCAGGCACCGGGGTTCTAGTTCCAACCAGTGCCACTGATGAACTGTGTGACCTTCGGCAAATCACTTTACCTCTCTGGGCCTCAGTTTCCGTATCTGCAAAATGGAGACATGGTACCTACCTGTAAGGTTGTTTTGAGCATACATGTTATCAGCTGCCCAAAATAATAGTAACATATTTTATCTGTGTCATTTTGCACTTATGACCCTCCCTGTTTTGCTCAGCAATTCCATACAGGAAGCCTTTCCTACACACCCATAGTGAGGAGCACAGGAATGGATACTCATAGGCCTTAACCGAGCTCAGCCTCCAACTCCGGGCAGGAATTCCGTTCTTCCAAACAGGAAGACAAGGCCTCAGCACAGTGGTGCCGCTAGCATCTCTTCACCTGAATTTGAGGAGTTTGCAGCCACTTTTGGGGACAGGAGGAGGTCCTCAAACTCTTCTGCAAGTTACAAACCTCTCAAACACTGACCTTGCCACCAGGGCAGACATTTGTGTCTCCTTACAGACAGCTTTGGGGATTTAGGCAGCCCCAGTCAAGCCCAAAAGGAATCTTCACTTTCTTCATGCCCTGTGCAAGGCGATGGTCAGTGGGGACTGGCCCAGGGGATCGGTCTAAAATGGTTTTAAATACACTCAAGATGTCATCTTGGACCTGAGCTTGGGCTTGGGGAGGGCTCAGAGCCTTGGCCAGCTGTTGGGGATGGTTCTCAGGCCTCCAAAGTCCAGCTGGCACAGGAAAAGTCTGGACTCTTCTGTGCAGTGCCCACGGCCTTGCAGGACCTGGACCAGGCCTGGTGCTCGGACCCTCACATGCCGGTTTTGGGCCCTCCTGTTCCCACTTCACTGCATCCGTCCTGGAGGCCAGCATGTGCCTGCTGTGTGCTGGTGTCCCTGCCAGTAAGCCCCGCCACCCCTTTTCCCACCCAATGAACACCTGCTGGGAATCCATGGGGGGTCCCTGACTCTCAGGCAAGTCTTCCCTCCACTCCCTGGTTTCATGGTGTGTCCCACATCCATCCTCCCTGAGGCTGTGGGCTCCTTGCTCTTCAGTGTCTCTCATTTTCTGCATATCTGATCATTCAGTGAGCCAAGGAATGCTCATTCTTTTCCCCAAAGCCAAAGGGCTCCTTTCTGTTGCCTTCTAGAATGAGTCTCATGACCGTCT